TATATTATCTGTCTTCCATATCTATGAGTTTTGTATCTATGGTTTCAGTCTACTGTGGATGAAAAAAAAAATGCCAGTGAGTTGTAAAAAGCAAAATTTGAACGTGTCATTCACCAGACAGTCTGCTGAAGCCATGTGAAGTGCTACGTAGACATACCCTGCTCCTGCTTCCCACCATTACAGATGGTGAGTCCCTCTCCAGAGCTCCTGTCTGAGCACTGCTCCCCTCATGTTTGAATACTATGTAGTTAACCCTACACAAATGTATACTAAACATTTATGCTTTTTACCATTACTCCTTCAATGGTATTATATATAGCAACTATTTACAGAGCATTTCTACTCTACTAGATATTTTAAGTAACCTGGAGATGATTTAAAGTAACCTGAAGGATGTGTACAAGTTATGTGAAAACAGTGCATTTTTTTTAATATGAGGGACTTAAGACTTGAACACACAAGAATTTTGGCAGCTATAACATGTCTTACACTCCTATGAATGTCAAAGGACGACTGTACATCCATCCATCTCTTACAAAAAGAAGTTTATTATCTGGAAAGCTAGTATAATCTTCACACAAGACTAGTACGGCCAACTTTAAGGCTAGAATTGAACTAGTGACACTCCTAGTGCTAGGTCTTCAGAATAAGAATTATACCAACTCTCCTAGATCTCCAGCTTACTAACTACACATTTTGTTTGGTTTTTAGCTTCCTTTTTGTTTACTTTTTTGAGACAGGGTCTCAACCAGGGCAGGCCCTGAGCTCACTACATAGCCTAGGCTGGCCTCCTGCCCGAGTCTCCCAAGTGCTGGGATTACAGGTGTGTGCCCGGAGGCTCTTAACTACACGTCAGATAAGTCAGCCTTCAAAAATCAACCAATTCAGGGGCTACATATTTAGCTCAGCGGCATAAGCGCCTGCCTTGCAAGCAGGCAGTCATGAGTTCGATCTCCGCTACCAATAAAAAGGAAAACGACCAAAAAAAAAAAAAAAAATCCAACCAATTCCTTATCATTAATCTTTTGCATATACAGGCACATACACACAGACACATACACTCTCTCTTACTTTTTTCTTTATAGAACCCTGGTATTAAAAAATAAACATTCCATTTACTGAAACTCAAAATCCCTTCATGCAAAATTCAAGAGATTTAAGATATTTACAAAAACCTACTGCAAAATTCCTACTTAAGGATGAAAAGTCCTTTTTTTTTTTTTTTTGTCTTTTTGAGACAGTGTCTCTCTATGCATTTCAGGCTGGCCTTGAGTTCACTTTGTGGCCCAGGCTGGTCTTGCAACAATCCTCCTGCCTCAGCCTCCCAAGTGCTGAGATTACAGGAATGAGCCGCCATGCCCAGCTAGAACTGTCCTTTTTAAAATTGAGAAGAAAACTTCTGGCAAGATGGCAGAGCAGTAAGCAGCAGAGAAAACATCCTCTTTGAGAGTCACCATCCAGACCCTGGAATATAGCATCATAAAGAAGAGAAAAGGAAGGAAGTTTGTCACCTGGACCCAGAAAGAATCTAAAGTACCAAATCAAAGCTCACAGAGAGTGAAAAGAAAAACTTCAAGGAAGAAGAAGGCAATAGCCAGCAGCACTTCACCCCAAGAAGGAACTCACCGCGCAAGAGGAGCTGTTCAAACCTGGGGAACGTGGTCACAGTGACACTGATGGCTGGAGACCCTGGAGGCCTCTGCAAAGAAACTCGGCCTTGGAAGGGAGCAGCGGACATGGAAGACTGCTGGCTGGCAGAGGACCTTATCCTTCCAAGGGAGACAGTGATTAGCCAGGAGCCATTTTGCAGTTGGGCCAGATAAGCTAGGAACCCAGAACTGCTTCGGGCTGTGTCTAGCAGCTTCTTGCTAGGCAGAGACCCGTGGATCTCAGGGAAGGTCTGCTGAGGTTACCTGCTGCTCCACCATAAAGCAACTGCTGGCTTGCTGAGACACATCAGCACAATTTAGGACTACATCTCTACAAGTTGTCTACTAGTGAAACCATACAGCATCGTAGAAGTGCACTATTTGTGTTTCTTCCCTGTTTTTTCTTTCTTTTTTCTCATTCATTGTTTATGAGTATGAAAGTGGTTCCTAACCTCCTGTCAGTGTGTTCTTCCTTTTATTTCTTTCATCTCTTTTCCTTCAGTCTTCCTCCAGTTCCTCCAACCAGCTAATCTCTTTCTCTTCTTCTACCTCTCTATTTTCTCCTTAATCCAGTTTAATTTTAATCCAGAAGGCAAAATTGGCACATTATAGACTTATATATTACATATAATTATCTAGTTTGTGTTACATTTTATATTATAATCACAAATCTAGTTTATACACTTAAAAGTTGCAAATTAAGGGTTAGCTCAGTTTGTTGTGTTCTAAGCTGTGTTTGATGCTATTGGTACCACTAAAGTCTAAATTGATATAATTGTTCTGAACAGCTGTTGGTCCTGATAATCCATGACTGAGATTAACTAAAGGTCACAGAAAATAGTGTGGCATAGTGCCAAATCACCAGGGACTATGCCAAACAAGCTGCACCTTCTCATCTCCAGCAAAATGAAGAGGTAAGATCTTCCAACCAACTCAATACTCTAAAACCAGCTATACATGGAATAGACCTCAGGGAAATAATCATCACCTAAGAGTCCTAAATACTACCAATAAAGCAATCCACCACAAGCAATTTGTAAGTATTACCCCAGGAATTAAAATTTTTAAAAAAGAGAAAAAGACACTTCAGCAAAATGCAACCCCAGACATCCAGTTCACGATAGGCAAATCCAGAAGTCAATGAGGTAGGACAATCTAGCAGCTGCTGGGTGATACAAAGAAGAGTAACTTTAAGAGTAACTGGAGTTAATGAACAAACAGAAGATATCATAAATGACATTAAAACAATGTACAGACATCATGACAGAAAACTTTCCTAGTACAGAAAAAGAATTTGACATGCATATAAATGAGGCAAATAGAACTCCAATTAGCAATGATCAAAACAAATCTACAGCCAGGCATATGACAGTCAAGATTCCAGAAACTGAACACAGAAACAGAATCCTACAAGCTGTTAGAGAAAAGAATCAAATCACCTATAACGGAAAGCCAATCAGAATTATAGCTGACTTCTCAGCACAAACTTTCAAGTCTGGGACAGCTTGGACTGAAGTACTCCAAGTTCTAAAGGAAAACAACTTTCAACCCAGACTGATGTACCCTGAAAAACTATCTTTCAAATTGATGGAGAAATAAATATGTGAAAAAATGTTCATCACTGGTGATTTGAGAGATGTAAATTAAAACAACACTGAGATTCCACCTCACCCCAGAAAGAATGGCTACTAACAAGAAATCAAGCAATAACTAATGCTGGAGGAGCTGTGAGGAAATAGGAAGCCTCACCACTGTTGGTGGGAATGCAGACTGGTGCAAGCACTGTGGAAATCAGAGTGGAGATTCCTCTAAGAACTAGGACTACAGGTCCCATTCAATCTAGCTATTCACCTTCTGGGTATCTTCCCAAAAGTATTAAAAACATCATACCACAGTGCACCCATGTTTATAGAAGCAGTCTGTAATAGCCAGATTTTGGAAACAACCAAAAAGATGTGTTATTTTTCTACATTGGAGTATTACTCAGCCATAAAGAAGGATAAACTAGAGAATTTTATAGGTAAACAGATGCAATTTGAGAACATACTCATTATAAATAAGACACACGTGTAAACATCACATTGTGTCACTAGTGTAAGAAGCTGAAAGAAAAACATGTGTGCATATATATATATATACACATACATACACACACACACACACACATATATATGTATATAAAAAATAGTCAAGATAGTTATACTGCTGATTTCTCTGAGTTCAGTGAAGAGAAAGATTTGTGCTGGTATTGTTCTGACGAATGAATGCAGATGTCCTGTGCTCTGGGTAAATGATTTGGGGATGACAATGCACAGTGTATCTACCTTCCCTGCCCCAACTGACATGTTTTGAAATTTTGTTGTAGCTTTTTTTTTCTTTTTTCTTTTCTTTCTTTTAATCCTTGAAATAAAATGGATTTGGAAAACAGAATTTTTTTTTGAGATAGAGACTTGCTGTTACCCAAGCTACACTTGAACTCATGGATTCCTGTTTCAATCTTCTGAATAGCTGGAACTCCAGGTAAATAACATGGCACCCACCTTAGTATTTTTGTTCTTTTCAGCTTATTATATTTTTGAACTACAAAATTGCAAAGGCATATCTCTTTTGCTTCCTATCTTTCAGTCTCATTAAATGTAATGTGTTGGCCAATTGTTTTAAATTTAATAAATAAAATCCAGACAACAACAATGTCTACAAATCCCTGCTTTAATCAAACATCAGACTAGAGGAACCTTGAATGCATAGTAACATTAAGGAAAAAGATATGAAAATTGATGCCTGTAGACCTAGCTACTTGGGCAGCTGGAACTGGAGGAGCCCTTTCACCTAGGTTTCAGGAGGTCAGCCTGAGCAAAACAGTAAGACTATGGCAAAACAAAAAAAGAAAAACCTCCAGAATCATGAAATCTGCACACAAATGCCAGGAATAGACAAAAACTATCAGTCTCACACTGTTCTGACATAATCTCAATATACGTTAAGTATCAATTACATTTCTACATATATAACAAACAAAAAAATGCTCAGAAATGTGGCTGGATATGTAGCTCTATAGTAAAGTACATACTTAGCACACTCAACACCCAGGCCTTAATTGCCAGTACACTACCCCCTGTAAAAACTAATCATGTACACACACATAAAGTCAACATTAAACACCAACTGCTTTTTCATATACCAGTATGAACTGAAACAAATTAGAAAAACAATTCCATTTACAAGACCTTCAAAAAAGTAAGTACCCAAGCAACAAAGACTTATTACTTTCAGACACAAAAAATAAACTGAAATATTAATATAATCAACTATTATGTTTTCAAAGGAATATTTTAAAACCTTTTTACTCACAAGTTTTTCTTTATCTAGTTTTTGCAGTAAACTCTCCATGTTACTTCCAATTCTTGCCTTTTCTACAACTTCATAAAGGCTGCAATACATTCCATTCTTCAAAACTGACATAAAGAAACACATAGTAAACATCCAAATAGAGCTTGCTCCCCCTATATTTTAGTAATATTGAATTACTTTACCTTCATTTGGACCTAAATATGTTTCCTTATGAAACAATGCTGGAGGAATCTTCTGTTTCAGATGATCAATACTCGTAATTGTTTCAATATCTAACTTTTCAGGACTGGGAAGAAAAAAGAACACACTTGCCTTACCTGTTTTTTAACTTTAACAATAGTATTATACACACACAAACACAATGCTTAAGAACAAAACAGAAGGGTATATTCATTAATATCTTTTACTCTATTCATTAATATCTCATTTTATTTTATTGGTATGTAAAGTACAAAAACCTACACATAGATAAATAGCCTACTATATTACCAAACCTACATCCACAGCCAAAAACTAATCCAATATGTCAATTTTAGTAACAATAAAGGATTAAATATCATCATTTTATTAAAGACAATTCAAGTAAAAGCTGTTAATTTTCAAGTCTTTACGAAGGCATAATATTTACTGTGGTGGTAGCAAAAGATCATTTAAGATTATTCTACTCTAGCATGATACACAGTACAGAACAAAGGCTGTGCATTTTAATTTAACCTACCACATCAAGCTTTTTCTAACAAAGAACTGGTACGTTTTAAATCTACGGTATTCAAATTGCCATATGAAAAATATATTTAATTAGGATAAGACTTTTAAATAGTATTTCTTGTTTTAAAATAATTAACAAAAAATTTTATGCCACAAATCTATAAAATTAGCCCATTTTCAAATCAAGATTAAGTAGCTCCTTTTCAATTAAGTTTCTAAAAGTCATTAAATCAATCATCTCAAAAATGAACATTTATATTTACATTTTTCTTGAACAAAAATGTAAAATAAAAAAGGTTAGAAATTAGTAATAATTAATTGCTATTTTCTTATACTTACAGCTTGATAGGCAAAAAAGCACGAGTAGCTGACCTCAGAGAAATATAACACAGAAGCTTTCCTTTATTTAAAAGCTGTCCTTTCCACACTGTATAGTTAAATTTATCTAAATAAAAATAATAACATTATTTTTGACAACTCAGAAAAATAAATGCACATTACTAGAAAGAGAAAATATCAAGAAACAAGGTTTAACTAGAAAGCAGACAAAAGTGATTATTTCAATTTACAGAAAAGTTCAAATTCTAAGGTTTTAGTTATAAGTATCTTTTCTCTTTCAAAAAAAATTCAGTTTCAATAAGTAACACTTTTTCTATTTAAATATGATCAGAAAACTACGAAGCAAAGACAATACAATCACTGCCCTTTTACTACCAAGAGACTATGTTAAATCCAGTAGTACATGAATGCCTACAATGTCTCCTATCTTCTACTCATTCGCTGTTCATTATGAAGAAATCTGAAGATAATGTCAGTGATGCTTTTAATTTTTATCTCCTCTACATGCTAAACCTATGATGAAATCTATACTTTTTAAAGGCTGATTTGTTTCCAGGCATAGTGATACATGCCTGTAATCCCAATGGCTGAGATTACAGGAATGCCATGAATTCAAGACCAGCCTGATAGTGAAACCCTGTCTCAAAAAGATAAAAATAAATATAAGAAGGCTGAGTTCTGAAATCTACTTATCATTTTCTGTTTAATTTAAAGTTATCATTTGCTCTATTTTCTGAAGTAGGAGCTTCTTAACAGAGACCTTACACTTAGAAGACCAAGTTATTAATGCTTCATGATAACACAGCCTCACTGCTGTTTCATACTCTGTAGATTTTCATTCATTATACAAATAAGACAAAGCACTTATTTATCTTTTATGGTATGAGTTCTTTCAATTTATAAAACTAAAGAAATAGAAGAATCTTACCCACGTTTCTATCTGCATTAAAGCTGTTAGATCTACAAATTTTTAAAAAGAAAAGAAAAAAAATTACTGACTGGTAAAAATATGAAAGTTAACATTTATAACCCTGATAAAAGGACCTTTTTGTAGTGCTAGGGAAAGCAAAGTACTATTAGGCTACATCCTCCACCCTATAAACTCTTTTTGTAATGGTACAATGCGTAATGGAATAAAATTCTTCCTTCAGTACAACAACAGATGAACTTTCCATTACGAAATATAATAAATTCAAGTCTACTTAGAGAAAAAGTAGTATTTATTTTGCTATTATTACATTGGCCAAAGTAAAAGGGAGGTTTTATTCCCAACAAAAAATATCCATTAACAGAGAAAAGTCCATTAAAGTTTCTTTAAATTATTTTATCTTGGTGACAAGATTAGAAAAAAAGTTTGATAATACTTAAATATATTCACTTGACATTCAAAAATATTTGCTAATAATATCCTATTATTTAGGAGGCATAATTCTAACTAACAGGATTACAAGAATAAACAAGTCCATGTTGAATTTCAAAGAATTTACAATCTAATGAAGACAGAAGATAACCAATAATGTATAAAGCTTATCAGGTGACAATGGTTTTAAGTGCTAGGAGGAAAAGACACACTATAAAGGGGTTTTAAAAAAAAAAAAATCAGCAAGACTGAGAAGGTTGCCTTTCAAGAGAGAAATGCAGGGAAGGAAAAACCTGTACAGATAAAGTAACTAAAGGAAAAAGAAGCGACAGCAAATTTGAAGTCCCAAGACAACTGCATCCTTGGGCCATTCATGGTATAGGACAAATTTCTGAGTAAACTGTTTGACAGAAATCACAATCAAAGAGTCAAAGAAAATTAACAGTTATTATTCCTAGGAGTATGACCTCTTAATTATAAGTGCTAGATTCTTTTAAAAATCACTTACAAAATACTGCTACAGTAAATGTGCGTATCATGGAGATCATAAATACAGGGCAATTTTTTAAAAAGGAAAAAATACAACTGTCTAATATCATGTGGATTAGCATTTGTGCCTGTGGATGGTTTCCAGGGCTTAGTCACTAACATGAAAAATTACTATATTTCAAGAACTTAAATGGATGGCAGGACAATTCGATCTAGAAAGCTGATAAGAGGTCTACATGAAATACATTCATAAATGTTTCATCTGTGGTTTTTAAAACAGCAGTATTTCAGGCAGGCATAGTAGCACATGACTAATCTCAGGAGGTTAAGGATGAAGGATAACAAGTTCAAGGCCAGATTTGGTAGCAACTAGTAAGATCTTATCTCAAAATTTTAAAATGATTTTTAAAACTAGGGAAGATATAGCACAGTAGGAGAGGCCCTAGGTTCAATCTTACCCTACAAAAAAATATATTTTCTATATTAATAGGTATCACAAGTAACTTTATGTATTACAACTCAAGATGAAAATAAGTAAGACATTTAATTACCCCATCTACATCTCTGTAAATGATTTGGGTAAAATATTCTCACCACATGGAAGAAATGAGTACTGCTTTGTATTTGTTTACCTTATTGTTTTTAAGAAATTACCACTGGTACTCAGTACTGGTCAACAATTAGAATCACATGCACATTTTAAAAAACTACCATTCTCTAGGTTCCCTACTAAGTATCAGATTAATTTGGTTTGAGGTGGGGCTAGGGCATTATTTATAGAAGCTAGCCAATTTTAGAAAAGTTAATATCCAAAATTTCACTTTTAAAAACTCTCAGTATGGGGCTGGGGATTTAGTTCAGCGGCATAAGCACCTGCCTTGTAAGCAGGCAGTCGTGAGTTCAATCCCTAGTACCGATAAAAAGGAAAAAGACCAAAAAAAAAAAAAAAAAAAAAACCAAAAACCTCTCACTAACGGGGCTGGGGATTTAGTTCAGCAGCATAAGCACCTGCCTTTGTAAGCAGGCGGTCATGAGTTCGATCCCCAGTACCGATAAAAAGAAAAAAAGAAAAAAAAAAAAGTGTAAAAATTCTCACTAACTCAACTAATCAAAACTTCAATGCCAAAAGAAACCCACTGACCATTTATGGGAATTTTAGTCTGTGCTTCCACACAGCTAAATGATTGATCGTCTTCACAATGACCTCTTATAAAAGTTAACAGGCACATTCAAGCATTCAATTAATTTTAAGAAAAGTGTTTCTGGGGAAGGCAGAGGGGTTGACAAGATCCTGTAACCCAGAAGCATAGGCTGGGTAGCATCTTACTCTGGATGATGTCTGAAACTCTTCAAAGTCTTACCTTGATGAAGAAACAAACTTTGGAGTTTGTATATCATCTCTGTAAGTAAAGGACACAACTGCATATGGACAAACATGTCTTGGTCTTCGCCTTAATTCATCAAAGCCATACTCATAAAAATAATACTAAAAATAAGAAAATGCAAAATTAGGTAGGCAAGTAGTACCAAGTGAAATTTCATATTTATCTGTCTGATTTTCAAGACACAAAACCATTTAAAAACCTCTGATAGAAAATATCTTCAAGTTCCAGCTTGTTGGTTTAACTGAAAAAAACTGCAGTAATACTGAAAAAAACTGTATGTAACATTCTATTTCTACGTGTGTCAGACACCAAGGGACTACTAAGTATTCCATACGTCTACTTCTGAGAAGCTGACTGGAGTTTGCTTCTGAAGAGTTGGGAATATAAAACAAATTTCCCAGTAGAAACATTACAAATGGAGTCTAGGTCAGGCCCAGAAAAATCAACCTGATAGGGGAAAAAAACAAACAAAAAACCTCAAATATACACACACATGTGTCACAATCTCAACCAAACCTAACTGCCATTTTGTTTATCACTTTGAAAGAAAAACACATTATCTGGACTCAACTTCAAATACATCAAAAAAGGGGCTGGGGATTTAGCTCAGCAGCATAAGTACCTGCCTTGCAAGTGAGTGGTCGTGAGTTCGATCCCTGGTACCGATAAAAACGATAAAGACCAAAAAAAAAAAAAAACCAAACATCAAAAAAGAAGGTAGACAAGAGTAATATAGGTGTCAAGGGAGATGAACAAGCCTCACGCACAAGCAAGGGAATGCAGCAGTGGTATGTGGGAATCAAAAACTATTGTGATAGCAGAGGTAAAAGGGAACATTCTGAAGGATTCAGTAATACACAGACATGAGGTCATAACATTAAAATGGGTCTAGGCACATACCTGAGTAAGTTCATAGGCTCTGTAAGCCAAAAGAGATGTAATTCTACCTGCATTCTTTGACACGTGACATTCATGCTTTGGTGTAGGGTCCAAAGCACTTTTATTCAACATGGATTCCAAGTTTTTCACACCCATGGGGTCATATATACTTTTTATTTTACCCTAAAATAGAGAAAACCTCTCATGTATTTGCCTAAACATGATCAATACAAATTGCACAACACTCTTCACTAAGCTAAGTTTATTATCAACATATACTACCCTCTGTCTTTATTCTTTTCTTTGAAAGGGAAAACTGTTAAGTGAAACAAATCAAACTCACATGTGTCAACACCATATTGTCTCCCTAGTGTAAGAAATGGTAAGAGTACGTAAGATACAAAATCCTCAATAAATACAGTGAAAGGGTAAGAATACATATATATAGCATAAGAATACCTATATGGGGGCTGGGGATTTAGCTCAGCAGCATAAGCACCTGCCTTGCAAGCGCGCAGTCATGAGTACAATCCCTGGTACCAATTAAAAAAAAAAAAAAGAATACCTATATGTAGCAGCCATTGTTTATTTTCCTATTGTCTGGTTTTGAAGGCCAATAATGCCTTCATCACTCTGTTCTGATCAGTTTAATACTATTTTGTTTTGTATGAATTGCGTGTGAAGATATAGACAACTATTTAGAAGAAAACAAAAGACATTATGGTAGCCAATGTAGATTTTCTGTTGTCTTGCTTTGAAATATGTGTCACTTATATTGTTTTCTTCTGATCTGCTTTGTTTAGTTTTACTCTCTTTAAAATAAAAGAAGTATAATTAGCTTAACTAAAAATGACAAACTACTCCCAAAAGTATCTTTACATAGTAGCATGGACTTCAACACCAACAAGTACAGACTTTAATTTAATCACAGTCCTAAATACTCGAGGTCAACTCAAAATCCAAAAAGAATGTTGCCTTTCACACATGAAATGTAAAACCTGAAATTACCTTCATTATTTTAAAAATCACAACATCGCCCACTGCCCCAGTTTCCAAAGGATTAGCTTGTAACAAGTCAGCATATTTAGAAAGATAGACACCTAATAAAGACAGAAAAATTAAAAGAATTTTAATAAGTAGGACATGAATAAAAAAATCAAAATGTTCAATAATAGAAAAGAAGATATATAAGAACACTAGAAGCAGTTGATGTTTTAATCCAAATAAAATAGAGAAAAAGCATCACATTTTTCAAAATCACTTAGACTCTAAGATAATAAAAAGTTAACTTTGATCAATCAGAAGCATGCAAACTCAAACAAAAGATAAAGCCGGTTTTACATTTCAGAACCTGAGGCTAGTCTCTCTTTCTGGAAACATAATAAAGCATGTACAAGTTTAATTACAAGGACTACTGCAAAATTAATTAATTTTTTTAATAGTAACTTAGTAGTAAATATAAATGAAAAAGAAAATTACCCATGGAAGGACTGCCAAGAATTGTTATTTTGGAATGGCCCACCTGCAATCCTTTTTCACATATGCTTTGAACCTAAAAAAGCAAAACACTTCACTTTGCAACCATATTATTAAAAAAAACAAAAAGTAATTTGTAAGTTTGTTTTAAATAAAATCTAAACTTCCAAGCTACATACAATCTACATTACAGACATTTCAAGCATATGTATCAGTTTATGCACAAATATGAATGTGAAACTGACACTTCCAAATAACCACACTTGCAATTTATATTTACCGTAGGTATGAGACACCCCAAATTCCTGCCTCTCACAAACGTAACCAACCACTTTTAGAATTAGAGCCAGCAAAACACATAAAGTAGCTCCATCGAAACATCATTAAAAGAGAGAGGAAAAAAAAAATTGTTCCAAGAACACACAATCAACAAGATAACCTTTTTAACAAAGGGAAATGTATTATTAAGCAAATTCCAAAAGAAAACAGAAGTGGTCAAACAAAAAAAAAAGTGTATCTGAAAATCAAATTACAAAATAATTAATAGTTGTTCCCTCTAAATCACTTTCTCTACTTGTAACAAGAAAAAGGTAGCCAGTGCAGTAGCACCTGCATGCAATCTCAGCCATGTAAGGATCTGAGAGATAGATTTTTTTAAGTTTAAGGCCAGTGTGGACAAGTGGGGGGACCATGGTTTAAAAAAAAAAAAAAAGAAGCTGGAGATATGTTGTGCTGATATAGTGATATATGCCAGTAATCCAGGGCAGCCTGGGCAATGTAGCAAGATCCTGTCTCAAGAAACTTTTTTTAAAAGGGACCAGGGATGTAACTGAGTGGTAAACTACTTCTGACGTGTGGAAGGTCCTGAGTTCAACCCCTGATATCAAGGAAAATAAAAGCTTAAATTGAAATATCCTCCAATTGTTTTTAATAAAGGATCAACTCACCTGACATCGATCAACCAAGAGAAATGCATAAGATTCTGAAAGTTCCTTATCTGGACGACCATCAGACTTCAGTTCTCTTCGCTTTTCTGTAAACTAAATGAAACTGAATCTATAACTCCTCCAAATATGATTGTTTTATTAAGCTAAGAGTTTTGAGAATTTTTTTCAGAAATCTCAAAGCTACCAAAGTAGAAATGGTCTTTACTCTACTTCCATTTTTTTTTCCGAGTTACAGGCACTTTATCCACCCAATGCAGTCAAGTAAGTTGCAAGTACTTATCAACTGTAATCAACTGTACTGTATCAACTGCAAAGTTTTACTAAAATTATATCATACTACAATTCTCCTATAGATTATTTTTTTTTCTTTTTTATTGGTACTGGGGATCGAACTCACGACTGCCTACTTGCAAGGCAGGTGCTTATGCCGCTGAGCTAAATCCCTAGCCCCATCTCCCATAGATTATAAATTCGTGATCTAGTTATCTTTGTATCTTCCACTTTCACAAGGTATACTGTAAGTAGTAAGCGCTTTACTGTTGACATCTGCAGATGGCAAGGGGCTCTAGGGAAGAAAAGGGGGGAGTAAAAAGGACTAACACGTGCTATGTACAGGTACCAGCTCCCTATGACAATTGTATTCATTATGTATCACAAACATGTATAAATAAAAGCATTTTAAAAATGAAAAACAAATCTGTTGAATGACCAACTAACTCTAGACTATAAACTCACTTAGGACAAGGAAAAATGTTCCCTTTAATAACTTTTCTCAATGCAAAGCACATAAGATGTATATATTTACATATTTACATGATTAAAGCACAATTTACATGATTAAAGAGAAAACTGTTAAGTCATTCTGAAACTTTAGGCTTTTACTTTTAGATATATTTACATTCAATCATAGAAAAATTGACTTTTTTTATTAGTATTCAAGCATTATTGCTCTTTAATAACATAATTAATGTACCTTCAAACTAAATTTTTACCTGAAATTAACAAATAATCCTTATCATACATAAAACCAGGGCTGGGGATTTAGCTCAGCGGCATCAGCGCCTGCCTTGCAAGCAGGCAGTTGTTAGTTCGATCCCTGGTACCGATAAAAAAGGAAAAAGACAAAAAAACACCATACATAAAACCACACTGAACTACTAAAGTTTTCATTTTCTATAGAAGCCAGTGACATTAATACCCTTTAGAGATTCTTTCAAATTTAAATTTGGTAACACTTCCTTAGCCAACTTGTAAAAGTACAATCAGTAATATTTCATAGCCACTAGAAAGTATACATGTAAATGGCAGGCATGTGTTTTGGTACATGCCTACCAGGATTCTGGGAGGCTAAGCCAGGACAGCAACTTAGGCAATACAGCCAAGGTAACAGGGCAATTTAGCAAAACCCGGACTCAAAACTTAAAAAACAAACAAAGAGTTAAGAATGTTCATCCTGATTCTGAAAAAGTTCCTTCCTCAGTTCTGAAGCAGGGAAGTCAAGAAAGGAAGAGGAGAAGTGGCAGGAAGAAGAGGGAGATGGAAAAGAGAGATGGAAGGAAGAGAAAGACAGAAGGGGGGGAGCACAATGGCCAGGTACAATGGCATTCCTGTTGTCACAACACTCTCCCAGCACTAGGGAGGTTGAGGCAAGAGGATCACAGAGTTCAAGGCCAACCTGAACTACATAGTGAAAACCTGTCCTCAAAAGAAAAAGCATAACATGTTAAATATTTCTAAATACCTCATTTATATTACCTCAGAATATACATATTAGCTATTCCTAAATCAAAACTCAACTATCAAATTTGTACATGAATCTTAATTCACTAATAAGGTGAATACCCTAAGAATTTCCACTAATAAAATAACCAAGGTAAAATAATCAATCTAGCCCCCAAGCAATTTTGGGAAAAAAAGTTATATTGTTTTAAAAGAAATGTATTTGCTTGTATTACCTTCCAATTTAGACATTAACATGTACTACAAAAGCAAAAAGCTTTATGAATTTATAATTAAGCCATAACAAAGTAAATTATGCTTAAGACTCAATTTCAGAAGGTGATTTTATATAATCACTCATTAATAATTTAAAGCTGGGCATGGTGGCATAATGCCTTTAATCCCAGTACTCAGGAGGCTGAGGCAGGAGGACTGCCTCAAGAATTTAACGAGTCAAGAATTTAACATGGCCGATAAATGCAATGTTCAGCAACACTAAAAGAAAAATGAGATATCATTTAAACTTGTATACCTTTCCATAATTTGGGCTTCCTTAAAAAGTGTAATTTCTAGAGAAAAGGATTTTCAGGTTCATTGGTTCTAAAAATAATCTTAGAATAAGTAACAATTTTAAACATACCTCCTTTTCCAAAAGCTCATTATGTATCAAGCACACAGGTTTGTAATGAAAATTTGTCACTGAAGATGGCTCAAGGTAAGACGAATGGAGAATATTTAAAACATCTTCGAATTCTCGAGAGCCTGGAGTTAATGGCTGGAAAAGTGCTAAAATAAAAAACACCATTAAATTTAACATTATTCCATCTTAAATGTAGCTTCTTCTAATTTTTGTGGGTTAATCTAACTTTAAATAAATGGAAAAAAATGTGACATGCGAAAGAGATACTAACTTCCTAAAAAAAAAAATGAATAAAACTAGCCACCTCGACTGATTAGTTCCTTTAGCAATGAGGATCTAGCCTACAAGAAGACTGCAATTTTGCACCTTACGCATGCTACATTAGGCAATCTAAATCATAAGATTTTGTGCATGTATTCAACTTATTTCAATTATTTTATGCTGAAGAAGTATGTCTAGGACTGTTATTTCAGCAAACTACACCATAAGTGAAAGCATATCTATAAAGTAAAATGGTTGCATTTACTACTGAAATTGGGAATATAGTACACTGCATCCAAAGAATTTTATTACCAATACAAAGTAGTAGGACATTTATTATATGAAAGCAAAATGTTCAGCTATTAGGCTCTGGAGTCAAGCGTAGTAGTCAAACTAGATTTATCATTTACTATTTCATGGATGATGTTATATAACTAACTGTAAAACAGAGAACTCCAGCTATTCTAATGTCTATTATTTGGCACATGCCATATATAAGACAATTCACAGAAAAAGTTCTAAGCACACCATGTGGTGTAAAATATGTAGGTTTTAATTTCTCATGCCCTCAACCCATTCCATGTTCCATTTAATCGTTACACACTCAACTCCAAATATCCATCTGGTTTGGGATTACTGATCTATTGAACTTTCAATTTTACACGCGAAATATTTTAATTTACCAATAAAATTCAAACATCTGTGCAAATTTATATAATTTTTCCCCAAATCAAAAAGAAACCACCTGTTTTTCACTGTAAACATAACTATTCACTGTAACTATATTATATTCAGTATATTTTTTAAGATACTGTTTTTAGTAAGAGCCAATAAATCTGAACCAAAATACTCCTGGGTCACTACCAGAAAGTATCTGCTTCTACATCATACTTACAACCTTGTGCTTGCCAGACTACAAACTTTTAAAGTACACATTCTAGAAGCTTCTAAATAAGCTGTTTTTATTGTATTTCCTACACATGACTATTAAGGTTTTTTAAATTTAAAAGACACAACATCAAAAGATATGCCTATTCACTTGTAATCCATGCCACAGAAATGTTTGTAACTATGTATAAAGCTGGTTACCTACTTTGGGTCGCAAGCTCACAAAGGAATGTCAACTGAATAACACAATTTAAAAAATATTTTAAAAATCACATCAATAGAATAACACCAACCAAAATACTAAGAATCAGCTTTTGAAAAAGCATTTAAGTACAAGACTACTAAACACAAAGTATCCTATAATCTAGCTTATAGATGTATTCAATATTGATTTTAAGCTTCATGAGAACAAGAACTGTACCTATCTGTTCGTTATTCATCTTTCCCATATGCCAGTAGGTAAAAATGTGAGTGGTGGGAGGAACTAGGCTGAGTAGTTGAAATAAAGGAAGCAATGGGAATAAACTTCTCAAGATATTTTTTATACTGAATACAAATATAATCTACAACTATCAAAATGATTGCCATTTTAAATTAAAATTCATTCATGAATTCAGTGATATAAAAGAACAAGAGCTCAGAAAAGAGAAATGCATGGTCTCAATTTTGTTTTATAAAATGTACTAGGTTTTAAGATGTAGTAGGGTAAACCAACATTTTATTGACAACTATTTCTACTAAACTGTGAAAAACTTGCCAAATGAAACAGCATATGAAAGTCTTCATAGGTTTTCAAATCCAAAAAAAGCCAAGTTTGAATTTCAAAGTTTCATGGGTAACTTTTGTTTCCATATTGACAAAGTGACTTCAAATATCTAAAATCTACCAGGAAATATCTATTGGTTTCAAATTTCTATGAAACTCACAACGCTACATAAAAAAAAAAAAATTACTTTCTTTAATTCAGCTGCCCTAATGCTATTTCCACCATCATTGTAATCATGAAATTAGTCAAATATAAATTTGTATAAGCTTTCAAATTTTCATCAGAACTGTTTAGCATTTCCAAGTCATTTTAAAGCAACGTTCTATACAGTTGTGGCAAATGTATTAAAGACACCAGAAAAAAAATTCTTGTAAAGGGATTTATAGTTTTAGAAACAGCTGTATGATTTTAGGTCTAACAATACTTGTGCCCTAGGTATTTTATACATAAATCCTCAATTTATGAAAGACTTCTGTTCTGGGAGAATGTTCGTAAACCAGACTCATGTAACCCAGCAAAGCGAGTGTTATACAGCACATAGGTGAATGTTTACAACTGGAATGTTCATTAAGTTGGGAATTTATTGTATCTTGAATGCCTCAATGACTTTACTAGTTAAGCCAGAGTTATCATTTGCCTAATTTTTCCAACGATTATTTCTAAAACAATAAAATACTGTAATTATTTTTAAGAATTTCAAGTTGATTGTGGTAGTTTAGAAACTCACCATTTTCTTAATGTATGTGGTCTATCTCAATATACAGCATCTTGTCACTTCTTTTAAAGAAAAAAAAGTGTATATGTATATATGTGTGTGCATATATATATGTGTGTGTATATACTTTTAAAGAAAGTAAAAAAAGTGTATATGTATATGTGTGTGCATATATATATATATATATATATATATATATGTAATCTCATTATTAGTCATTACTTGAGGAAACAATAAACTATCATGGGACTATCCAAACAGCGAGACTCATACATTTCACATAGGTAAGACAGTACCCATACAGAACTAGGACCCAATGGTCATTGCATCTATTAGTAGGTCACTATCACTTTTCAGATAGTAACAGCTTTACACGCATTAGGTCATTTAATCATCAAAAACATCTTATGAAATTCAATATAATCATTTCTCAAATAAAAATAGCTATCAACTGTTGGCCTAAGAATACAATGCCACGAACAAGGAAGCTGAGATTCAAATTCAAACTGTCTAGCTCCAAAACTAAGTAAAACAACAATGTATATATAAGTATTAGAGACAGAATCTCTAATCAGGTCAAGAGCTACAAAAATGTTTGTCTTATTTTTATACCAGAAAATAAAACAGGACATTGAAGCACAGCAAATTAGCTAAGAACAAAGAATCTGATTTCTAAGATTACCCGTATGCTCTTTCAAACCTCACATTCATCTTCCTTCAAATCTCATTTCCTAATTTTCCTACAGAGGTAACAGACCAAAAGTCACAACTAGTAATCTTTTTCTGTTTATAAAGATTAACAGCAGTAGCAATAGCAACTTCTTTCACATTAAGAAAAGTTTAATTTTGCTTGATTTCCATTAACTGGTATCAGAAAGATGGCTGAGTTAATTTCTAATCACACAAAATTTCCGTACTGAAAGCTGATTACCAATGAACACAGATTTCAAAAGACACTTCAAGTGCTCACATTTTGGCAACACATATACTAAAAGGGCACTTGGTAACTTTTAAATCAGATGAGGAAACTGATAGATATTGTAAGAATCAGAACTGGATGGTGCACAACTATAATCCCAGCACCAAGAGAGACAGAGGTAAGAGGACTGCAATTTGAACCCAGCATGGGCAATTCAGATTTTGCAAGACTCAATCTCAAAACTAATAAGGACTTGGGATATAGTTCAGTATTTATTATAAATCTGGACTCAATAACTAGCATTACACCAAAAAAAAAAAAAAAAAAAAGGATGGCTCCCAGTAGGCCACCATGCTATCATAAAAAATAATTATCAGTAACATTCAAGAATTAAGGTTCTGTTTTAGCAGCTGACATAGACATAAAACTTAGGTGTTCCTTAATCAAAGAAACATTTTCTGGAATTACTTTTATCAATTTATTTAGTATTAACAAGACTTTTGTGTTATGCACACATGCTAAACTTAAGATGGACCACTACTATCTGACAAACAGTGTATCAATTACTATAGTTTTCTAACTGAAAGTAATGCAAGGAAAAGGAGAAAATAATTAGCAAGGGTAGGAATCAAAGATGTTCTGTAGTTGAGTCCACAGCTGATACCTACTAGTATTAATAATTAGGATATAATCACTGTTTGTTATTCAGAATAATTACAATGCTTTTTAAAAAAATCACCTCTCAGGGCCAAGTGGTATATCAGTGGCACGAATGAGTTTGATTCTTGGTTCAAAAAAAAAGTCACTTTTCTTTACTATAAAAACTTTTACAAAGCTAGGCATAGCAGTCCATGCCTATAAGCCAAACACTCAGGTGGCCAAAGCAAGATGATCTCCAATTTTAGGCCAGCCTGGACTACCCAGTAAAGCCAGGTCTCAAGAAAAGAAGAAAAAAAAAAGTCAGGCATAGTGGCGCATGTCTGAAAGCCCATCAGGAGGTTCAAGCAGAAGGAACACCATAAGTTTAACTGAGGCCAGTCTGGGATACACAATGAGTATGATCAGCCTGAATTACAAAGCAAGATCCTATCTCAAAAACAAAACAACAAAACATGAAATCTTAGCAATAAGTTTGAACATAGTGCAGAACTAGCAATTATACTGATAGAGGTCGAAAAACCAGTACCAACTGAAACTCCACTTACTTAGAGGTAAGGACTGATGAAGGAAAATTTTACCTCCATTATCTACAATTTATCTGTTATGTATTTTTTAAGTAAAAAAAACTAGGTTGTGTCTACACTGTCCTGCTTAGGTTTGCTTAAGGGAGATCTAAGGTTCTCAGAATCCAGTCATCCATACTTAACTACTGAAACACAAAGGAAATTTCCTTAAGAATGAGATTAGCCCTCAAGGGCTTCAAAAAGTTCACTACAAATTGATGAAGGGAAAGAGGGGTTGAGAAGTAGAATGGGCATCTACTTTCTTGGACTATACCATTATGAAAACTGGAGCAAAAGAGCAGTTAATTTTTGAGACTTCCTTGTTGCCCCCAAAGAGTTTCCTTTGAGATTCCCTTTCACGACAAAAAATATTACCAACTATTTTACAGAAATAATTTCTTGAGAAATTTGTAGGGAAAAACTATCAAATACAATACCAATTTTACTTAATCCAAAAATCTAATTTACTAGATTGAGGATAAAAATAGGAGATGGGGAAACATAGTAACAAAATGCAATTCTGTAATTTAGTTCAATGTAAAGACTCTTTTTGCGCTACAGAAAACAGCCCAATCAATAAATACAACACCAAAACCAGTATATGCTCCATCAACAGGCCAATCAGTAATCACTCATTAAGCGTGTTTATGATGAACATAATTTACCCATGTCAAAATTCTCCAAGGTTGTATATTATTTCTAAAGTTAATAGGGGAAGCAGGGCACTCCTGTAATTCCAGCACTCCGAAGGCTGAGGCAGGAGGACTCCCACGAGTTCAAGGACACCTGGGCTATGTAATGAGATCCTGCCCCAAAAAACAAAAATTACTTAATTTCATAGAGAGGAAAAAATCTTTTTTCCCATACAAATAGTTCAGCTCAAGAAGTATTTATTATAAAAAATGTTTAAATTCTAATTCCATTTACCACCAAACTGACAAGTGACCTGATCACCAAGTACCTTCTCAGTACCTTAGTTTCATCTGTAAAATGGGAATAGTAACTACCACCTAGCATTGTTATGATTTAGGTAACATGTAAAGGGCTTTAAAAAATGCCCACAATTTTTTAAGCACTAAACAAGTGTGTGCTAATACTACTACTCAGTTAGAATGGCAGTATTTTGGATGCTATGTTACTGTCAAGATCAAGAAAACAACCTTCTCAGTCAAATTATATTTGCAGAATTTTACCTTTAAAGTATGAAAGCCTTAATCTTAAATTTCACAGGAAAAGTAGTCACAAAGCCCTGTAATACTTAAAATAATCAAAAGAACTTTTGCTATTACAAAGTTCAAGATAGTAGATTTAGATGGTCCCAATAAACATAGCCAAATCCTACAGATAGTAAGCGGTCTTTACAAGTCTTCTAAATGTTTGGAAGTGTGAAACCAGTAGTATTGCCACCATTTATGATTTTTCTAAAAATAATGAAAAGTTCAAATTCATGCACTAACTTCTCAGCTTAGCTGATAAAAAGCCATGGTGGTATACTAGCTGCTTATTTAAATTCTAAACTGCTGTTGCACTACTTGAACAACTTCTGCTCAGTGTTTAGAGAAAAATTACTCATTTTCACTGAACATGAAAAAAGCCAGTTATCTTTTATCTCTAAGTGAAAATGGAAAATATACTTTCCCTAAGCAATATCCAACCTCCATGGAAAAAACTGGTAGGGTTTACATTTCCCTATTCCTCAACTATTTCCACTTCCAATGTATTCAACTGAATCCTATTTCATAACCAACTCTGGATTTTATCTAATTTTAAAATCACACATTGCTCCATGTTTAAACGCAGTAGTTAAGTCTAACCCAATTTTCTGACTTTAACAAAAGATAAAGGGTGTATAATGGTTTGTCCATATTAAGACACCTAAAAGGAAACAAACTTCAAACTGGCTTTCATCAAGTTGAAAAGCCTACCCGCAAAATCAGAGTTGATGCCTGTTTCCAATCTATACTCTACCAGTAATTTCACATGGACATCTAACATCTCATTTCGACAACTATGTATCTTACGTTATCTGACACCGTGACCATCCTAAAATACTGCTTAGTGGACGAAGGGTAACCATCTTTGTTAACAAGGTTTCTCACACCAAGTATTTCTTTGGCTTTGTTATCCAAACAGAAATGAATTTTATTTGTACCTTATTCATAAAAAGTCCTAATATTCCAATTGTGCAAAGGGAGCTGTTACGCACATGCACAATGCTTCAGCCAAGACTCTTTAAGTCACTAGAATTCACGACCCAAAAAAAATCCCTGTTTTCCAAAGTAAACCATAAAAAGTTATAACTTTAAACCAAATCCAAAATATCCAAAAATATTGGAAAAAATACTCTAATAAAAAATGGTAATAATTGTGTTTTACAATATGGTATCATAGTTAAAAAGGTAAGCATAATTAATATAAACTTCCATGCTCGTTTCAAAAACTGTGACAAGCCTTTTTTTTTTTTAAATATGAAGTTCAAAATCAAGGTTGGCGACTCGTGGGCACAAGCGAACTCATTTTTTTCCCAAAGGGAAATCACTGCACCAAAAACCTACCTTCCCTTTCTTCTAAAAAAGAAAAGCTACACTAAGTTTGGATTTAAAAGAGACCTACTCAATGCTTCAAAACAAGGGAAAAGACCTATATGGAAATGAAGTGTGATGGAAAAATCGCAGTGTGCATGGATCACATCTACTAATGGAAATTTCTAAATAAGGGAAGACGCTGACATCAAGCAGATTTCAAGGAGACACAGACAGCTGAAGAATTTCCACAGAGAGAAGGGCTTGAAGTCCTCAGAATGCAACGGCCTTGGAGAAAGCCCACAATCCATGGCTATTTCCATAGCAAGACTTCTCAGAAGCATCTTTGGGAGGACACATCAGCTTCTCTCTCTGCCTTCTGGTACTGTAAGCAGGGGCGCCGAGCACCATTTTCCTTCGGGGGCCGCAGCCTTACGAACCAGCTTCCAACCTGAGCTACTTCCAACTTCCACGGGGCGCAGGGAGCGGCGGAGCGTGCTTCCACCGCCTTCCTCCCGCACCGCGCAGCGGCGGGCGGCGCCGAGTGCTTGTTTACTGTCTCGCGTGTGGGGAGAGGAGACAGAGAGGTTCTAACGGAAAGATGGAAGGGAGAGAGAGAGGGGGTTGGGGAAGAGGCACCACCTTTCTTTTCTCTGCTCTTCCTGGGGATCTGAAAACTCCTCCTAAGAGGCCTTTCGGGCTCTTCCGGGCCTTTGGGCGGAGCGGCCGCGCCCGCCTCGCAGAAGTCCTGAGGCTGCTCGTGGCTGAGGCTTGGGGCGGCGTTGGCCGCCGCGGTCTCCTCGGGCCCCGCGCCGCCGCCGGGCTCCGCCACAGCGAGGCCGCCGCCGCCGCCGCCGCCATTTTGTGGGTAAGACTCGGGCTCCGGAAGCGTCGGCTTCATCTCGTCGTCTCCTCTGCCGCCTTCCCAGCTCGAGTCCGTCGGCGGAGAGGCCTCGGACTCCGCAGCAGTCGCCATCGGCCGGCGTGACCAGTCCCAGGAAGCGTCTGCCCACTGGGGCGACAGGCGTAGGGGGAAGGAGCGGCAGGCCGGCCTCGCCGCAGAGCTGCTGTCAGCCCACCCACCACCCGCTTCCCCCCGTGGCCGCCGGACGCGCTCCCGCGCAGGAACTTCTTGGGCGCTTCAAAAGCGTACACGACCAAGGGCCGCGTCGGCCCCAGAGCCGCTCCTAGCTCTGGCAGTTCCTCACCCGGCCCCGCCACTCAACGTGCTCGCGTCGGGCCCGAGAGGGGGCGGTGCCTCACGGGCCGCCCCGCCAATGGAAGTGCGTCGTCCGCTGCAGTGGGCGCGGCTAGAGCGCGCCGGGGGGCGGAGCGTCGGGGCGCCTGAGCCCGCCAAAAGGGGCGACTGCAACGCCTGCCAAGCCTCGACGCCGCGCTCGCTCTAGGTGCGCCGGTGGCTGCGGCCCGCAGCGCCTGGCCTGTGCCTGGCCTTTTCTCGCCAGCGCTGCGGGCCAGGGAGGCAGTTTGAGCCTGGGCCTGGGGCGCTAGGCGTGGGCTCTTTTGGGCCAGAGGCCGCCTCCTCGCGAATTCTATCCGCCAAAACCGGCTTCCGAGCGGTGGGGACAGAGAGACCCGGATTTTGGGAAGCACTCGAATGCAGAAAAAGCGGGGGAGCGATGGAATGGGCTGCAGCAAGGTCTGGTTCTGCGCCTGGCCACTAACATCGCGTCGCGCGTCTCTACGGCGCAGCACTCGTACGCAACTCCCTCGGCCCTCAGCCATAAGTGCCACCGCGGCCGGGCCGCTGTTCGGCATTTTATGTGGAAACCCAGGAAGGCCAGGCTCAGTGGACCGGGTCTGCACCTGAAATCTCAGCACTAGGGGAGACTGAAGCAAGGGGATCGAAAAGTTCGAACCCAATCTGGGAAACTTGGTGAGACTGTCTCAAATTACAAAAAGGATTGGGGATCTAATTTAGTGCAAAGGTTCCGGGAGGAAATGGAGGAAGGAAAAGGAGGACTGCAACAGGCGTTTTATTCAAGTTTTCCAAGGAGCCACATCAAGACTGGAATACCGATCTCTGTGCTCACAAAGGCTAGCTATCTCCCAAGGAATTGATCAGTAATTATAATGAAATACTAATCTTTGTCAGGTAACTACTACTTAAAGAGCATTCCCAAGAGCAATAGGAAAACTGGATTCCCTTAGTAAAATCATAATTGTTTAGCAGCTGATAAAGAAAATTTTGTGTATTGCCCAACCTATTTGAATCAGCTCAGTAAATGAAAACAAATCTCAAGGGTAAAAACTTTAAATATTGTTTAAAATATGGAAAATGAGGGCTAAGTTGAGGGGAAACCGTATTTTACTTTAAATTAAAAGTAGCTCTTTAAAATTGGGAGGGCTGGGCATGTAGCTCAGGAGGAGAACATTTGCCCAGCACTGCAAAAATAAACTAAAAATAAATTAGAGGTAGGATCTCTTGGAAAGGAGCTACAGAAGATCAGAAACTCATTGGGTGTAGTAATGCACGCCTGAAAAGTCCGCACTGGGGAGGCTGAGGTAAGAGGATTGCCATGAATTTGAGACCAACCTGGGCTACATAGTGAATTTAAGGCCACCCTGAGCTACATAGTGAAAACTTGTCTCCAAAAAAAAAAAAAAAAAAAAGAAAGAAAGAAAGGGCTGGGGTTATAGCTCGGTGGCACAGTGCCTGCCTGGCAAGTGCAAAGTCCTGAGTTGGGTTCCTGGTACCCCTTCACCGCAATCAAACTCAAATGTTGTGGTCCTAATGTAATTTTTTTGTTGGTTCATTAAAGACACCCCTCAATACTCATTTTTACCAAAGTGAAAAGCCCTGAGCACAGCTATGTCCAGACTTCTGACCTACAGAAACTGCAAGATGATATACAGGAGTTATTTTAAGCTACTAAATTTGCAGTAATTTAGTGTCAGGCAGTAATAGAAAACAGAAGTAACGATATGCCTGGCTAAGAGCCTTTTTTTTTTTTTTTTTTTTTTGAGACAGTCTTGCTCTGTAGTCCAGGCTGGCCTTGTACTCACTATATAGCTAAAGCTGGCCTCCAACTTGCAGCAATCCTCCTGCCTCAGCCTCCCAAATGCTAGGATGATAGGCTTGTGCCACTGCATCTGGCTTAAATGCTTTGCAGAGGAACTGAATTTCACAACAACACTATGAGGCAGGTATTAATACTCCCATTCTTTCTGGTGAAGAAACTCATTTGCAAAGGTTTCAGAAGGGTCCCTATATTTAAATAAAAGGAATTATATAGACTTTGACAAGCTGATCAAAGCACTTGGGTGAGGACATAGAGTCATAGGATTCATGCATAGTAAAACCAAAAGCATTAATAGTAGTACCTTTTCAGTGAATGAAGTTAATAAGATTTCTAATCAATTTCATATGTCTTTTTCAGATACAGAGGTTAGTTTTGATGCTTACACATGGCTTAAGCCTTAAAGGGATCACACAGCTTTCTTGTTGTTTTGTTTTGTTTTTGGTATCAGGGATCGAGCTTACAACCTTGCACTTACCAGGCAGGCACTTTAGGCGCTGAGTTAAACCCTCAGACCCCTTCTTTCTTTTCTTTCTTTTATTTAGCACCACTATCAGGAACTTGGCCAAGAGTCCTAATTGTCAGTCTTAAGAATGCTGTGAGAAAAATGAAAAACAGAGTCAAGTATTGCAACAATAGCTGGGAAGACAATGTCTCTGGATCCAACCAGACCATTCCCACAGCAGCCACTGTTTATTGGCTGTGTTTCATGATAGGTGGGGCTAGCAAAGGATTGCAATTCATCCAAAACTCTGACTCCAAATGAGAGTCTAGAAGTATCTTGACCTGTAGTATAATTCTATGACGACTAAAAAAAAGTGTAGATGACCCCATGCTTCAAAGAGCCAATGTCAAATCCCAGATGGGTGGTACCAACAATCCCAATCCTTCCTTTCATCCCACAGGGAAATATGCAAGACCAGTCACTTTGTGGCCCCCAACACACTGCCATTCAAAGGCAGTAGTAGGGAAAAATGATAAAGGCCAACCAATAAAACTACCACTATTAGACCTATTTCACAGAACTGTAAGAATCTCAGAATTATGGATGAAGTTAGTGTTAAAAGGTTACGAATCCATTGGGCACTTTGGTGCATTAAAAGATGTAAAATATCCTTCCCTCCATGATGCTTGCGCAAAAATAATAATTCTACTTCCATGGAGTCACTTTCTTTCCTCAAAGACTTGTCTGGTTACTCACCAAGCAAGTTTTCTGTTGCTGTTACTGGTTTTAGTTTTTTGAGACAGAACATCATTATGTAGTTCAAGCTGGCCTTAAATTCAAGAGGATCCTTCTGCCTCAGCCTCCCAAGAACTAAGATTACCACACAAGGCTACTGCTGAGCAAGTATTTTTTGAATGTGTCCAAGGGCAGTGAAAAGAAAACTAGGTAGATGGGAACCTGATCTCAACCTGGGTTCATGATTAGTGTCTGGAAGATTTTCATGCAAGGGGGAGAAACAATAAAAAGGATATTCAGTTGAAAAGACTGGAGTTAGGGAAACACAAATATACAGGTAAGCCTTCAGTTACATGACGGATGCCAGTAAACACGATCCTCACTCAGCAGTTACTAAGGATTACATTTTGTTTCATTTCCGAATCAAACCCTTCAAAGATTTGGGGGATGATGGCCCATGCCTGTAGTCCCAGGACTTGGAAGGCTAGGCAAGAGAATCACTTCCAGTTTGAGAATATCCTGCTGCGTAGTAAGTGCAAGTCCAGCCTCAATTATGTAATGAGATCCAGTCATTAAAAAAAAGGATTTTGTTTACATGCAGTAACAGGTGAACCTCATAAACATAATGTTAAATAGATAGGACAGACAAAAATAATCCATAGCATAAGTCAGACCACTGTTTCCTTGTATGTGTCAGCAGGAGGATAACCAATTCAAAGGGGTCGTGAAGGAATAACAGAAATGCTCTACCTTGATCTGGGTAATAGTCACATAGTATGTAAGGTATGGATTTATATTTAGTTGTTGCTTAAGAATTCTGCGCTTTTTTTTTTTTTTTTTTTTTTTTGTATCAGGAATTGAACTCAGGGCCTCACACTTGCCAGGCAGGCACTGTGTCACTGAACAATATCCCCAGCCCCTCAGCATTTGGGAGGCTGGGGCAGGAAGACTGCTTTGAGTTTGAGGCCAGCCTGAACTGCATAGCAAAATCCTGTCTCAATAAATAAAAAATAAAATAAAATGGGCATGGCAGTGCATCCCTATAATGGCAGCATTGGGAAGCTGTAGCAGGAGGATCGTGGGTTTGAGGCCAGCTGTCTCAGAAAACCCAAAAAGCCATCTGTGATAGTATATACCAGTTATCCCAGTGCTCCAGGAGCTGAGGCAGGAGGATCTCAAATTCAAACCCAACCTGGGTAATTTAGAAGACTTAGTGAGATACTGCCTCAAAATAAAAAATAAGGAAACAGGGGGACAGGGGAGGTAGCACACAGAATGAAGATCCTGGGTTCTAGCCCCAGTATAGGAAAAAGAAAAAGTTACGCATTTTATTGTAGGTCGTTACTCTTTGAATAAATCCACCTGGGTGTGGTGTGCACACCTATAATCTCAGGGCTCTGGGAGTCTTAGGCAGGAGGATTGCAATTCAAGTCCAGCCAGGGCCATTTAGCAAGAATCCTTCTCAAAATGAAAAGTAAAGAAGAAGGGCGCCGAGGGTGTAGCTGAGTATGAAGGTCCACAGTCTCCAGTGCCCTTCTCAGGTTCTCACTTTCAAGGGATAAAGACAGCCCTTCACGCGGTCCAGAGAGCCTCACTGGGGCTGGCTCGGCCTCTCCTCGGTCCTTTGCTCTTCCCTAAACTCCTAGGTCTGACGCGCTTGCCACACTTCCCTGGCCCGCCGTGCACCTTGGCACACGCTGTTTCCCTGAGTGCTGTGTTCTTGCCCTCCTGCTCCCCAGGCCCACACAGCTCCTGTGCTTCTTCTGACTTAAACTGCGCGACCTCGCGTGAACTTTCCTTTTTTTTTTTTTTTTTTTTTTAAAGGGGAAAGGTTTATTTAGCTCACAGTTTTAGGAGAGTTCATGTCCATAATCGGCTGACTCCAAGGCAGGGTGCCACATGGCAGAAGGGCTGTTAAGCAAAAGCAACAAGAGAGGCATGTGAACTTTCCTGATCGCCCCTGATCGTCCTGCTCCCAGGCTACGGTTGGTTCCCGTGGTTTGGTCTCCGTACTCCGGAAATTTTGATTCTTTCGTTCTGACCTTTTACCTCCTGTTCTCCTTAATCTGTAAT